CCCCCCCCTGCCTCGAGAATTTGGGGAAATCCGAACATGCCCGAAAAAATGGCGGGGGGAGGGGAAGGGAGGGAGCAAGCAGGAGTCTGAGCTGCCTATGAGAGCCAGCCGCCGCGAGAAATAAACTGAGCGCAGGAATCCCGGAGCGTGGTAGGGGAGGAGAGGGACGTCGGGCGGAAATATCGGAACGGTTGGAGGATCGTGGAGAGAAAAAAAAACCCGGTTCCTCCACCCGAGACGGAGATGGGGCCGGACGACGGGGATACACTCGAGAAGGTTTGAGCCAGACTGAAAGCGGAAAAAAAAGGCCAGTCCCGGGACGGTGGAATATGAAACGCGTCTCTCATTACAGACCACATGCGACTGGTTGCGACTGGTGCTTGGGGGGAGCCGGAGCCGTGACGAGAAAGGGCAAGATGTGACGCTAAGCCCCTTCGTGTGCAGGCCCTACCAAATTCGCAGCCACGAAATACACACCACGGGCCGTGCAGTGTGTTTTTATCCTCGCGGACACCCATTTCATGGGGGGACCGGCGTTCCTCCAATGCAGGGGTCCTGACCCAAAAGACGGGGGGCAAACTGGGTCCCCTGGAAGCAGCGTGCTCGGGAGCCAGTCCAACGCCGCCCGGCAAATTAGCAGTGCTGTGTTTGTATGGGTGGTGCACATTTTGGCGTGCCTCGGTGCACAGGCCACAAAATTATTCCGCACGGGTGTGGGGAAAAATCAGCAGGTGGATGGAAAAGATGAGAGGGAACAAGGTTATTTTGTAGAGGGGGGGTCGTTGAGTTGCCACCCTTCCGTGTTTCTTTCCGAAACGGCAACGGCACAGATGTAAGGGTGGTTGTCCCCGACTCCCCCTACAATCCTGTTCCAACTTCCACCCGGTTCCTCTCCGGGTCACCGTGCTCACCCCTCGAAGCAGATTTCAGGAGCCGAAATTGTGACCGTTACAATGTGGAAAACTCCGGCACCGTGAAATTGACCCAGGTGGCGCGCAACTGTGGTAGGGTCCCACGGACGGGCAGCCGCCGGAGCGGCTAAGGGAGCCTGACAAGAGATTGTGTCTACACTGGGCCACTTATTCCGGAAAATCGGCCGCTTTTCCGGAATAACTTGCCAGCTGTCTACACTGGCCGCTTGAATTTCCGGGAAAACACTGCCAATCTCACGTAAAATCATCAGTGCTTTTCCGGATAAACTATGCTGCTCCCGTTCGGGCATTCCGGAAAACTGTTCCGGAAAAGGGCCCGTGTAGACAGCCGAGATTTCTTTTCCGCAAAAAAGCCCCGATCGCGAAAATGATGATCGGGGCTTTTTGGCGGAAAAGCGCGTCTACATCGGCACGGACGCTTTTCCGGAAAAAGTGCTTTTCCGGAAAAGCATCCTGCCAATGTAGACGGGCTTTTTCTGAAAATACTTTTAATGGAAAACTTTTCCGTTAAAAGCATTTCCGGAAAATCATGCCAGTGGAGACAGAGCCATTAAGTTGGCAGATGATCCCAAGCTGGGAGGGGTGGCGACGGCTCTGGAGGACGGGGTCAGAATTCAAACTGATCTGGACAAATTGGAGAAATGGTTGGAGGTCGACAGGATGAAGTTTAATAAAGACAAATGCCGTAAGGGCAGGGGACTGGACTCGAAGACTCTCGAGGTCCCTTCCAGTCCTGGTATTCTAGGATTCTAATCTTTTCCATTCTTGTGCGGATTTTTTTCCAACCATGTGCAGAATCAATTTTATTCGATGCACAGCTGCATGGGTGGATGTGCACCACCACCAACCTGGCTGCGGGTGCGCTGTGAATCAGATGGGTGACCCTGGAATGCCTTCTGAGTAGCCGCCAAAGGCTACTTCCAGGACACTGTGGTCCTCTGCCCCCCTCGATTGTCGTACGGGGTCTAGGACATGATTCTCACTCCACCCGAGGGCACCCCCTTGCATAACCTTGGTCCAGTCGACTCTATTGATGCCTCGCCCGCGCTCACGGGGGTCCAATCCTCATCGAGGTGGGCAGGCGGAGGTGTGCCGCGGAGAGGACAGAAATCAAAATGGCCGCCTTTAAAGGGGCACAGCTCCTTTTTTTTTTTTTCTTTTCAACAACTTTTCCTCGGGGGCTTTTTTTTTTTCCTCAACCCACAAAATCCTTGGTGTTCCCCATAAAAAAAAATGGGGTGGTGTTCCTCGGTCTTAAAACACTACTCTAGAAAGTCCTGTTCGGGTCCTGATACCCCCCAGCCCCATGGCAACTGTACGCCTTGTTCTCCCACAAAGTGAGAAGTCAGGGACTCCGTCTGCACACCGGTTAAAGGTCAGGGGCCACCCACCGGATTAGCAGTGCACGCACAGCTGGCAGCTGTGTTTTTTCCCCGGGTAGTGCACCTTGCTTCATGGCTCGGTGCAGTCAACAAAATTTATTCCGCACCAGGATGGCTCAACATTAGAGGGAACACTGGTCATGGAATAAGGTCATTCTTTTCAGGGAGGGAAGGAGGTCTGGCAGTCCAGTGAGCTCTGCTTGGAGCCTGTTCCTGTAACGATTCGAGGAAACCGCCTCTTAATTTCCAGCCTCACCCCCCCCCCTTCACACCTAGGAAGGAAGAGACACTTTCCCGTCGTCTGTGTATTGACTCCCGTGAGCTAGCCCAAAATCAACGCGTGTGCTAAGCCAGAACCGTCATTTCTCCCGTGAAGCTGCCGTCGTTTCCGCCAAGGCGGGCCCATACAGTATGGCTACGTTGACACAACACGTTTTTTTCGGGAAAAAAATATGCAAATGAGGGGCTCATTTGCATGCGTCGCGATCTCATTGGCATATTTTCTGCGTATCCGTTTTTCGCGCTGGGGTTTTTGCGCCAAACCCAGCAGGCTACCTCTACACCTTTACACCGCGAGTTTTCTCGGCCAAAAATATGCAAATGAGGGACCCGCTTGCATGAATTGCGATCTCATTGGCATATTTTCGGTGTTTTCGTTTTCTCGCGAGGGTGTTTGCGCAAAAACAAGCCGTGTGGACGGAAAGAGGGTTTTGCACCAAAAGAATACATCCCCACGGCTTGTTTTCGTGCAAAACCCCCTCGTGCAAAAATGCGTCGGCAAAACATTCGGGAGGCAGATCACGACTCGTGCAAATGAGTCCCGTGTTGGCCTACGTTTTGCGAGCCGCAGCGCGGCCGTTTTCTTTTGGCGCCAAACCCCCTTTTCCCCGCACGATCGGTAAAGCGCCTTTTCGGGGAGCCTACGGATCTTGCGGAGAAACGGTTTTTTGCCGCAAAAAAAAACACCCACGTGGCGCGTTTTTGCGCCAAGCCCCTTGGCGCCAATACGGATCCGGAGAACGTATACCAAAGAGACTCATGCCAATGAGTGCTGTATTCGCCTAGTTTTGGCCGAGAACATTTTTGGTAGTTGTGACGGTGCAGCGCCTTTTCGGGGAGCCTACGGATCTTGCGGAGAAACGGTTTTTTGCCGCAAAAAAAAACACCCACGTGGCGCGTTTTTGCGCCAAGCCCCTTGGCGCCAATACGGATCCGGAGAACGTATACCAAAGAGACTCATGCCAATGAGTGCTGTATTCGCCTAGTTTTGGCCGAGAACATTTTTGGTAGTTGTGACGGTGCCTCCTTGCTTCCGTGCAAAAACCCCGGCGTGCAAACGAGATCGCGACTCGTGCACACGAGTCCCGTGTCGGCTTCGGTTGTGCCGAGAAACCGCGGCCTGGAGCCGTAGCCCGCGGGCGATGGGACC